AATTTTAATTTATTTTGAAGGCTTTGTGAGATGTATGACAGGGTAGAGCCAGTGTCAATAATGATGAATGTCGATGTCATTGTGGGTAGCAGTTTGCTTTTTGCGTGAATTAATTGAGATCTTGCTTCTGTGTTTTTAACATGCAAGATCTTCGAAATCACGAAAAAACTGCTGGGTCTCGTTTTCGGCATTTTGAAAGCATTCATCATCGTGTTCGGAAAACACATATTCTTGAATTTCACCTTCCTGATGAACCGGATTGTTCTCTGGCGAGGTATTTTGATCGATGATTGGGACATTATCTGTTGTAGCATTGCTAAATTCGGCGTTTGCCAGATTCATACGCCCGTTGTTGGGACGATATGGCTGACGATTTTGAACGTAGTTGTTTTGTTGATAGGTTTGATTATTTCGTGGCTGGAATTTTTGGTAATTATTTTGGGGCACATAGGGCCCGTTGAACGTGTTGGTTCGATTTTGGCCGTACTGGTTATTAAAACGATTATTGTTGAATGGGCGTTGCATGGCCCCGTTCTGGAAATTAGTAGTTCCTTGGGTATTTTGTGGGAGATTAATCTGAGCTGGTTTTTGGGTACCCGGAACTGGGTTCTGGGGTGATGGTGTCGTAGGATTTGCTTGGGTCGTGGTATTCTGTGTGGGGTTTGGAAGCTGTTTGTAACCCAATTTTCCACACAACTGCGGGTGGTGTGCATGTCCGCATTTATAGCATTTTTCGGTGCATTCGTGGCTGCGATGGTCATCTTCGAAGCATACCAAACACGCTTTTTGGTTGATGAGAATGCGTTTCACCTCTCCGATGGAGAGTTTTGAGAGCATGTGACAGTTCTTTGGTCGATGACCTACGCGGTGGCAGAATAGACAGGTTCTATTGGCTGCCATTGCTTGGTAACGCTCGGTGGTCTGATTGCTGATTTCTTGCAGACAGGTGATTCGGTTCTGCAATTCATGGATCAACCTTTCAGTACTCCATTCAATGCCTTCTTTGTATTCATCCGAAATCACTTCCGTGATTAGTTTGATGGGAAATTTGTTTTTTATCATTGTACGGAAGTGGCAGGTCTCGGTGTTTTCGACTGCTCTGATCCGGGTCGTGAATGCTCGGATTTTTAGGATGGTCATTTTCATGCTTTTCGGATCAGTGGTGGCAGCTGGTAGAGAGTTGAGCTCAGAGTTGAGCGCTTGCTTTTTGCGTAGTGGATTGTTGTAGGTATCGTGCAATAGCTGGAGGGCTAGAGGGTAGTTCTGTCCGGTAGTAGGGAAGGAATCAACTACTAAATGCGCTTCATGTGATGTGAATTTTTTCAAAATGGCGAACTTGTGTACGTCATCGTATGGTTGACTGTGGATCAGCTCATTGAATAGTTGCCAGAATTCGTCGTACTTGGCCAGATTTCCATCGAATGTGGGGAGATTCACTTCCAAGGTTTGTTTTGGGAGATGAATTCCTTTTGGCGAATAAAATGATGGCCTGTTATGCATCGGGGCATTTGGTGATTTGTACATTTGGGACATGGGTGTTTCCACCACAGGCATAGGTACGTTCCTTTGGGTGAATTTGGTTGAGGTAAAATTTGAATTTTGTGTTTGCATATTTTGATTTGGGAATTTTTGGTGGGTATTGTCGAATTTTGGGATCGCATTATTGGTCCTGTCCTCGCGAACGACGGACAGCGTGGAACGACTATTTTGCCTGATAATGGCAAGTTGTTGTTGCATTGCACGTTCAGCGTGATTGGTTCCAGTGACTTGTTCGATTTTTGCACGACAAAGGTCATGGAGTTCTTGCATTTTAGTAACGACTGGAATGATCGTATCAAAAATGTACTCTTCGAAATTTTGCTGATAATGCTTCATGATCTCCGTATATTCTTCAGAAATTTTGTTGAATTCCACATCTTGCGTCTTGATTTTCGTGATGGTAGATTCGAGAAGTTGAGTGTATTCGTCTGGACTAACGTTTAGCTGCTCAAATTCAGATTTGAGAATCCATTCGGTGTTTGGAATGAATTCTTTGTTCAAGTTGTTAATGAACGTCGTTAAACGCCTTTTGACTAGTTGAATACCGGTGGGAATTTTGTATTGATTTTTGGTCAATTCATGTTTGTTTCGGTCCACAGCCGTATTCTGGTCCTCAGCCATATTTGGGTATCCGGTCAGCAAATCGAAGGAATTGCCGAAACGGAGGTTTGTGGTCGAGCTCGTGGGCTCTCTTGTGTGATTTCCGGGATCACCCGTGGGGACCCTTCCATCGATTGTATTGAACGCATCAGACCCCGTAGGGTAGAGTTGTTCGTTGATTGTGCGGTACGGGTCACCTCCTCGCGGAGGGACACTGCCGAAAACGCGGTGCTGGCCGCTTCCCGAAGGAAGGGCACTGCCGAAAACGCGGTACTGGGCATCCCCTTGCGGGTAGCCACTGCCGAAAACGCGGTACTGGCCAACTCCTTGCGGAGAGGCACTGCCGAAAACGCGGTACGGGCCAACTCCTTGCGGAGAGGCACTGCCGAAAACGCGGTACGGGCCAACTCCTTGCGGAGAGGCACTGCCGAGAAGGTCGGGAACAGGGACGGGGATAGGGACGGATTGGGACATTAAGGGAAGGCTATGGACGGGCAGATCACGACTCTGGTGCTGCATCACGTCACAAACACGGATCGAACCGTTTGGGGACTAAAACTGGGGACAGTAGCGAAAAGAAGGCGGGCACACTGACTCCGGTGTTGCTCAACGCCAAAATGAACGGGGGGAAAAAGGGCCAGTGATCCGCTCGGGGCACCACTTTGTCACGACTGTGACAAGAATTTGCGCCTCGATAGCCTGGGAGAGCAAACGACTGGGACGGGGGATACAGTTTATTACAGACTCCCGGTGGGGTAGTCTGTTACAATAAACGACAAAAACGGGAAAACGGGAATAAGGCAAAGGCGATGGCGATGAAGGCGAGCACGAATAAGGCGTAGAAGAAGGCCGGGAATCAGACGACGCTTCGCGGTGGCGAACAGCTAGCTTGAACCCGGGAAGACGAAGGTGTTGAAGTCGACTTGAAGAGCGGGAGAGGGCGGCCGCTTATATAGTTGGGCACCGGGGGAATACAGGGACATCTTCCGGTTGCCGAGGAGCCGCATGCAAAGTGGACATGCGAACGTCGGTGGACGAGGGCTTGTACTTGAACACGATGTTGTGGCCCTGGATCGCGGAGACGCCCATAGAGAAGAGACGGGGAACACGGTCAATCAGCACGGCTCTGCGGGCTTCGGAGGATTGCCGGCAAGAAGGAGAAGGGCTGCTCGTAGCAGCGTATTGTATTAATTATAGTTAATTGAGGGATTTATTAGGTTAAGTAACCGTCATCGTCACGGGGACGTGACACGACCCCTTTAAAACTGGCTAGATCGCCCTGGGAAAGCAGTCTTTTCTAGTATGATGCCGGAAATAATTCCGTGATTTACAAATGCCATCTTCAAATTCGTCAGAATTACGCGAAAAAAAGCTCCGTTCCATCCCTAGACGACGAACGTTATTTTTCAGTTTCATTGCGTATGACAAAAACTGAAAAATCGTCTTGAAAAAATGTATGTTTCATCTCTAGTACATAATAAGGTGACATTTTTCAGATTTATTAATTGCGGATTCGTAACGGTTACCAAATCAAATTTTGAGGTGCCGTGAGCGGGCTACAAAATATTAGTTTTTAGATTTTTTGAACTGTTTTACGATACCAAGACAAAGCTAGCTTTTTAAAAATCGGAGTTTTGATTCTTATTGACAGAAAATTTTATGAAAGGGGGTTTGGTATATCTTCGACAATTTGTTTAAAGTTTCCTCTTTGTATAATTAAATTATGGCATTTGCGCCAATTACTACCAACAAAATTCAGAAGTTTCAAGTTTTCCTTGAAACTCGGCGTTTAACCATGCATTAATCAGTCGTTCGCTGCGCGGCGGAAAAGAATAAGTACCCCGCCTTTATCGTATTTTCTACCCGTTGTCCGGAAATAATTCCAGAATTTCTTCCATTTTAAAACTCGGCCAAATGCTATTTTTCTTGAAAAATTTATGTTTCATCTCTACGCGAACGATATCTTTTTTTTGATCCATTAATCTCCGGTTTCCAAACGCAAAGCGAAAAGTTGTGGTAAGTTCGGCGCGTAAAATCGGAGTTTCAAATATTATTGAAGGTAAAAATATTTAACGCGGTTTAATGCGCGGTTCGTACTGCACTGGCTGCTTGAATGAAAAGAGTTTTTCAGAATTATGCCGTGGTATATGGCTACTACACCTCGAAAAATATTTTTTTTTGTCAGAATCAAGGTTTATCAAATTTTATAGTATTTTTGTAAAAATAAATTATCGCGTCTTTGCACTAATTACTACCAAAAAAAATTCAGAAGTTTCAGATTTTGCTAGAAAGCCGGAATTTAAACATGTGGTAATCGGCAGTTCAGTTCATCTACAAAATCATAAGTGCCGCTTTTACCGTCTTTTCTAGCCCTTGGCTGGAAATGATTCCGTTATTTGCAAATGCATTTCAGAACTCGTTAGAATGATATTTTCCTGAAAAAAAAGTTTCATCGCTACGCGACGAAAATCCATTTTTCGATGTCTTAATCCATCGTCATAAACGTCGAGCAAAAAATGGCGGCATTTTGGCTACAAAATGTTTATTTTAAGATTTTTTGGATTACGGTTGTAAAAAGGATTATTTTATGTAGAATATTGGACGCAGCAATTTAGGATTGGACGATACCCGGACTGAATATCTTTTTTTAAAAATTCGTAAATTCAATTATTTATGAAACTGAAAATTTTTATGACAGGTTTGGTAGGGCGTTGATATATCTTCTAAAATAAGTCCTTGTGAATATGAAAATAGTTGCTCAGAGTTATAAGTATACTACTATACCTCTAAAGATAGATTTATAGATTTCAGGGTAATTCGAAATATTTTTTAGGAATTAATGATATCTTTAGATAATTTACCTAATGAATAAATCGAGCAGTTGTCGGGCATTCCCCACGGTCGACACATCCATTTCCCGCCATCATTTACAGCACCAATTCGAATTAGTGAGGGGCAGAGCACCTGAAGAAAATATGTTTTATCATGATGTGAAAAGTTTATATATTTTTTGTCGTGGTGTGCGGTTTAGTTTTTAGTTTTCGTTTCTTTTATTTTAGTACCCTATTTTAGTGTTAGTTTTCTGTAGTGATGTCACCCCGGTTAAAGGGGCTGGGAAGTTAAAATTCGCGCGTGCGTCGATTGAACCTACCGGTCAAAAAACTAATAGATCACTGCCGAGAAGTACCAAAAAAGTGATTTCATTGCGAAACACGTTAAATATTTGGGTAAAACCGAAAAGTAGCCGGGGCGAAAACGGCATTTTGAGTGGGCGATTACATGTCGTAATGATTGGGAGGCAACCAATCTCTCGATTCCGGAGATTCTCTGATCAATTTGCATAATTAAAATGTCTAGAATGATCAAAATTCGATGAGGATTCCAGAAATAGGATCAGAATTTTGAAATGCAAGCGTTTTGATGTCCGATTAGGGGCGATCTGACTTTTAAAGCACACGTTCGGGGAGGGGCCGTGTACTGGTCCCAACGTATACACCCTATGGACGTAGGAACCGCGCGCACGGCCTGCCCGTGCTGTGACAGGCCATTCCCCTCCTTTGCGACGTGGGCCGCCTCTCGCCCCCTCGCCAGGTTGTAGCTGTGGCTGACTGGTATCCATCCGTGCCTCTCGGGCAGGAGGCCCGGGTTCGACCCCCGGCCGCGGCAAAAACCTTTGCTTTTTTCCAAAAAAACGTCCCTGAATGTGCCCTTGAATAGGACGAATCGCGCGCAAAATGGAATTTATTTTAGGTTCGCCAATTCCCTGCAAGGCTAATAGCACGAAGCAAGCGTTCACTACTGAATACATGCTCACAAAAATGCTAAAAATCGAAAACGCTTACCTCTGGAACGAGTCCGTTATACAACCCAGCGAACGCCCACTCTTTCGTAGAGCTCTTGTTTTGAAGCACGTTTCTATAATTTATCTCCTTTGAGCGGAAATTCGTAAACTACTTACGACAGCAATTTTCGCCGCGCTTCCACGGACGTCTCGTAGAATTTGCGCGTAATCTCTGGGTCTTGAGGGAAATCTGAAAAACAATATTTATGACGTTGAAGCGTACTATTTTTTTTGCTGATTCAGGTACCTGAAAACTTAAGGTGTTTCAGATATGGCCCATTTTCGGAAAAATTGAAACATCTACTGATTGCGTATCCATCTCTTTTCTTCTAGCGCTTCTTGGTTGCGAAAATTAAGGTGTTTCAAACTTGGCTACTTTTTTGGGAGTCTGCAAACATGTATTATAACCCATTTTCTTCAATTTATTTTTAGTGAGTCCTGTTTTGCAAAATTAGTACATTTTTATAGCAAATATTTAATTGTAAATACATATAAATTTAGTAGTTTATATTCCGTCATTTTTTATTTCACTTCTAAGCCATTTAGATCTACCGTATTTCGGTATGGATGATCGCATTATTCTCACAAATTACGTGGGGTACACAAACATGTCACTCGAAAAGCCGGAATTGACGAGCCGACCCGTCGTTTGCCTGCCTTTTTTTCGGAAACACACTCTTTCCAAAGCAGCGTAGCGTTGTAAAAATTTTTGATTTTTTCATGGATAACGCGCTTGCAGCAGTGCAAATATTAAAATGTTGATTAAAAGTCTGGTTAAAATTTAAAATTCTAGTAAAATACCTTTTTACCCAAAAAATGCGTTTCACTGGCTTTGGTACCAAACATGAGAATCCTCGGTACAATCAGATGTACTTAAAATTTTGCTGTCTGTATAATTGTAATTTTTGCTTACTAATTTGGTCACGGCGAGCATTTTCGTATTCTTTAAACTACACTATTCATTCTCCAATTAATTGAATAGTTTTTTTAATAAAGAGTTGGCAAAAGAAGACACCGTGGATTCAAGTTAGAAGCTTATTTTAAGACCCATACTCTATAGGTCAGGCACAAAAATGTGTTTCGGTCCACTTGGGGCGAAAAAGGAAGTTCTAAGGCACAATGAGTGGTACATATTAAGTATAATTGTTACTGAGTTTTCACTATTAGGCCTGTTTGAAAAAGTTATACGAGGTTAAGCTTTTTGGCGCGTGCTATGCCCGGCGCCTATCGACGCTTTCCCTTCCCGGCAAATTGCCGTTTTTGGCTGAATTGATTGGCTGGTTTTTTTGGTAAACATCCAACCGATTATGCTATGTAAAAAGGGACGTAAGAGGAGTCTTGTTCTTTCTCTTGAGGTCCTTAGAGTTTATTTTTCTAAATGTATGGCACCTCTGGAAAATTGTAAGATTCGTCAAATTCGAATGTTGCAACCGATCCTAGGTTTCGTGGGTCTGTCGAGATTTTAATTTGCTAACGCCGGTAAGTGGATCGCCGGTTTTTGATGATCGATTTTCATGGGTTTTACCGCGCCTGTGGCGCGCAACTCACCCAACGTTGCGTTGCGTAACTGGATAAAAACGCTCTGTTATCTCTCTTTACTGATTGAAATAATCCAGGACCTAATAAATCAAATCAAAAAAAATGTTTCAGAGAAGATTCTAGATAAAAGTTACGCTGCTTAGTTTAATAGAAATTCATACAAAAACATGCCAAAATTCTTGATTCAGTATCCCACGTTTTCCGTTAGGTGTTGCAACTATTTTGCGAAATATATCGCGACCTAGCAGGGAACACAAAAACATGATACAATTCGTATGTTCCAAGAAAGTGGTGTCTCCTGGGTCTTTCGGGCTCTTTAACTCGTAACCCTAAATTGATTAGGGGAATGGCGTGCGTCTCCGGTACCACAGAAAATCCAGAGCCAGCCAGGCCTTGCCTATGCCTTTAATTTTGTCGTTTTCCTCATAAGCTCTGCTCGCTAACCTTCATATATCTGAGCCCAGATAAAATTCAAGATAGTATGTTTCAAAAAATTAAAGTTTCGCGTTCCGCTAACCCTGAGTAATTGAAGCATTTTTTAGATTCTTAACAGCGGCGCTTTTTTAGAATCTTAATACTCACCAACATTTCCAACAGCAAAATCTGGCGCATATTTTGGAGGTAATTTGCTTCTTTCTTCCTCATAACCATCTTGGCGCGTAAAATAATAGACAAGCAGCCCGACGATCACGCAGCAACAAAATGTTTCGAATTGCGAACAGCTGCGCGGCATGTCGCTGAATAATTTAGAATTATGATGGAAGCAATAAACCGATGGGAGGCGCAAAGAAATTATCACATTTGTCAAATCAATTCCGTTCATGGAATTTTGAAGCTAGTTGTTTTGAAATTAAATTTTTCAATATGTCTCAATCTCAATAATCTAATATTTTTTTCATTTCTGTGGAATTTGACAGAGCCATTCGACAGAGCGTCGAAAAATATACTGAACAAAATAAATTACAGGCAGGAACATTTAATTTGAACGCTTTTAAGTAGGAAAAATTGTATGAAGACCAGCGCTGCAATCGAGTTAATTTTTCGGTCGGGATTATCGATATTTTTCGACGAAAAACCTTTTTTCTTCGCCTCTAATTTTCAAATATTGAAATATTAGTGTAATTGTTTCTAGCATTTCTACACTATTCCTAGAAGCAAAAACTCTTCAAATCTTTATGGAAAATATAAAAGATTGACATTTTTCGACTAAAAACGCCCGATCGTTTAACAAAACCTCCCCTTTTACAATTTTTTTTAGCGTTTAGATAGTTTTTCTAGTGAAGGACGCTGAACTTTACGAAAAACACTATAAAATAATAAAACAAGAATTAAAAAATAAGATTATGACAAAGAAGGAGAGCGTGGGTGTTTTCAACAAAACGGCGTTGTTTACAAGGGGGTGTTAATTTGAGGCTTTTTTTATAACCGGTTGTAAAGGAGAGAACGGAATTTTAATGTCCTTATCGCCGTTTGAATTAATCGAAATATGACAAAAGAAGCGCGAACCGGGGTGAAAACACGTTGGCAGAAGAGATAAGGCCAGCCGGGAAACGATTTGTATTTGCTCAGGGCAACAGAAACGCCGCGCTCCTTTGTCCATTCAATGTTACGACAAATTGTCGCCAGAAAACAATGTTGCAGGATTGGGGGGAGTCTGACGACGAAAAATAGCGCGAACCATGCTATCAATCTGTAGCGAATTTAAATATCGCCAGTAAATACTAATTCCAGTTTAATTAAACAATTACAATCAGCCGTAATTTTACTTTAAAGACTACCAGAACGATGGAACGCGCACTGTCACCCCGAGGGTGCTGCCCCCAAGAGCGCGCAGAGAGCGTCGTCATTAGTGGTGTCCCGTATTGGGCATGGACCCTCTGGGGGTTTGGGGCGCCTCGGACTCCCTTCCCCACTTGGCCCTGTGGTATAGTGGCTAGCGCGTCGGAATGTGGAGCGAACCATCGCGGGTTCGACCCCCGCCCGGTGCGCAACTTTCTTGCTCTCAACGGAATTTCATCGTTCTGACGGTCTTTAATCGGCAGTCCTGAAAATTACTCTCAGATTGCGAAATTTTAAATTTCCTTTGCTCAGAGATGATATGAAACACATAATCGCCAAAGTTACACGTTTTTTTTCAAAAACTGACTGGCTCAAACAGCATAGCTTTATTTTCTCAAATGGAATTAAAAAAAGCTGTCGTTCTCGGCTGTCTCAAAACTCGGGAAATTCATAAATTGTGCGTTTGCAAGAAAACTCTTCCATCGGTGAAGCAACAGATTCAGAAATTCGTGTTTTTTTTGAGAAAAATGTGGGAATTTCGAAAATCGCAAAGAACATATTTCATTCGCTCGTCGAGAGCTTTCGCTAGATACCTAAATCGTAAAGATCGGACACGGTTGTGGCCTTGGTTTGGGGTATAGACACCCTGTACTTCCAATTATTACGGTTAACACCTCCCAGCCTATTGAAACAAGATTTCGGATCAAAACATCAAGAATTTTTGAAACCTTTGCTGAATCGGATTTTCTAACAGGGACATAAGGTGTCATTTTTCAATTTTTACGTTATGATCGTATATTTTCATGATCTGCAATCCCATTCAATTCACGAATTTAGCGCTCACATAACCCTACCCATTATCGAATTCAAACGGAAATTAGATTTTATAGAAATTAATTTTTCTTTTTCGGTCTGAGGCTATTTTAGTAGTTTCAAATTACAGCCTTTTTCTATTACGGATCTATGAAACAATTTTTCTTCAAAAAGTGTTTGTCCGGGATGTCTGCGCTCATTTTAGCATACCTTTGTTGCAGCTGAGTAAATAGAGGATGGCGGCGTTTCTTTAAAAATTGGGCATACAGATGGGCCCGGAAAAACCATTGCCGCTGAACTTAATAAAAAGTATTGCGAAATTTGACGCGAGGGAAAATCATCGAGATTTATTTATGTATAATAAAAGAATCAAAGAAACTACAAATTTACTGCCATGAACTTTCTCCAATCTTTTTATGAAGCCTCAAAAAGTGTCTACTATGGAATCAAATTTGTAATTAAATTATTTCAGACCCAAAAAATACTTTCTTAAAGAGCTTTTGCATAAAACTAACGATAATTTGTAAGGGCTACCAGTATAATGTGAAACTGTGCTTAGCGCGGCACCGAAAGAATAGTAAATAAGCCCCCCCCCCCAAAGACTCGGAAAAATCTGTTTCAAAAACTTTATATGCAAAACTATCAGAATTGGCTACAATTGGGTAGCTCTCGTCACTTTTCAAACACTCCTAAATCGCGGCAAACACAGCGCCGCAGGAAGAAAAATTTTTATAAAAAAATATCATAAGGGTATCCCTTTATGAACTTTTCGGACCTCGACCCCTTCGGCGGGGGGGGGGGCAGGGTTCCCTGCCCCCCCCCCCCTCCTACGGGCCTGATCAGAAGTCATCATCGCTAGTGTGGAATTGTCTGCTATAATTAGTGTCTGGCATTTTCTTTTAAGATTGAGACTGTTGGTGCTATTTTTTCTAAACAACATAAACGGCTAGGAAAACTTGAGAAAAGTAACCATACCAATTCCGTAGAAAATAGATGTTTCAAAATTGTGCATTTTCAAGAGGCTGGTTTTGGATTTAATGAAAATATAATACGGGCAAGAAAATCTAAACTTTTCGCGCGTTCACAACCCGTTTAAAACACTATTAAAATGTACGTAAAAACTTCTATTAAAGCGTACAGAAGTAGGCATCAAAAAAGAACCCCAAAATAGTCAAAAATTTTGCATATTTACAAAAATTTTTTATACACAATTAGCAATAGTAATCAGCAATAATGCTCCCTCAAAAGTTTAAATTTTTCCTTCTTTCCGGCCGATCCAAATAATGGGAGATTTCAGTGTATACACTTCTATTAAAAAGTGAAAAATATAATTATTTATTCCCTATAAAAATTGAGATCACCACAGCCAACTAAATATTCCGGAGTACGGCTTCATATGCAAACAAATTGGGGCTGTCTTTGGGTATTTCCATAGTAAGGCGTCGGTATGTCGACTCACCGCAAGATTTGACGCTTTTTCTGATGCCTAAAAAATAAAGTGTGAATTACAGTTTGTAAACAAAAGATGTTTCAAAGATTTTCCGGGTATAATATTGATGGCCTCCCTTAGTGCCATCTCACCAAATCCCAGAAAAAATTTCAGATTTTCCTGAAGCTTTTCAGTTGATTTTACATTACTGTATGATTTCGCGAATACCATTCGATACAACGTCAAAAAAATATACTAAGACAATTATTCTGAGCACGAAAAATGTGTTCGCAAAATTTTATGGCCTGAAAACTATGATATGATTCAAAGCTATGAGCTAGTCCTAGTCTTTTTAGTCCACGGACTTTGGACTAAAAACCAACACTAATGGGCACCACGTAGGGTAACGGGGAACACTCATTTTTGGACTTTTCAATATTTTCGACTTTTCGAAAATACCAATCGATAGTGCGTTCAAAAATAAACTAGGAGCTTTTTCTGAACCGAAAATAACCGTTTCAAACTAGTTTTATTGTAAAAAAAATTGATTCCTTTTCAAAAAAAAAGTTTCGGAAACCACTAGAGTTAGTTAGTTTTCCAAACAACGTACTTAGATCACCTAGCTTATTAGTGGCGATATTGTTTTCCTGGAGAGTTCTTTCCCCGTTTTAGCAGATCTTTATTCTCAAATTATTTGAAACGTTTACATTTAGAGCGTCTTGGATGGTTTTCAATGATTGCCATATTTGTAAAAATCAATGTATCATAGTTTTATTTAAGGTAAGGGCACTTTGCATTACTGGTTAACGAGCACGCATTATTATATTCCAATCTTGCTTCAAAACAGAGATTTTTTTTTGAAACACGGAATTTGCAAAAATTTTTTCATAAAGTACTATGTAGTCAGTTAGTTTTTTAAACAAGCACTAAGATCAACCTGATGCATTTAGCTTATTAGTAGCGCTAAAAATATTTCTTAGACGGTTATTCCCTGTTTTAACACGCATTTCAATGAATGGATTAAACTTGAAGAATTCCATCTGGATTTCTACCTTTTTTGCGCTTGCCAATTTTTTTTGAACGTAAACTTAACTTTATCAAAGCGCCTTAGAATTAAAATATTTGCAAATGTTCGATAATTTCGAGCTTGTAAATAAATGTATCAAAGTTTTACGTAAACGGGATTTTACATTAACGACTCAATGCATATTAACGCTCCTCGAAAATCTTAAGAATTTCAGGGAGATTTACAAAAAGGTAAGGCGCAGGATTATACAAGAATCTGGCTCCGAAAGTTGCCATATTTTTGAAACCCAATTTTTTTCGGAATGAGATGTTTCAGCAACCGCTGGACTAGCTAGATTTTAGACACGGCATTAATTGATCAAAGATAACGGGTAAAACTCACGACAGATCGGAAGCGATACGGGCCCACGTCTTGTAGATCTTTAATCCCCTCGTGGGTGTTAAACACGGCGTCCACCACCAGGAATTTGTAGCCCATCGCACACAGGTCCCAGCGCTAAAATTAAAATATTTTGTTTTTAAGGTGAGTACAAATTTTAATACGAAACCTTCCTTAAATTTTCAAAAAATTAAAAATGTCCTCAAAATTTAAAAGTTATACAGTTTCAAAATAACTTCATTACGTATTTTTTGAAACGATATTTTTCGAATGTTTGAGTTAAATTTCCATGTTACAGCATATTGAAAGATTGAAAGGGAAAGCTTCCGTGTAATTTTAACAGGATTGGGCGAGAAAAACATTTGTCCAAAAAAGTTCTTTATTTATCGATTCGATTATCCCCATTTTTTTCGCGGGGAAAACTCCAAAATCCCGACAGCCAGAAACCCCAGATTTAAAAACACTTATCGCAAAACGACCGGAAATCTCGCGATTTGGATGTCGGGATCATGGTTGGAATTCATTTTAGCGTTGGGTCGGCCATGTGAAAACTGCCAAATTAGCCATTAACCAATTGAAAAATGAGTTTTTTTTTGAGTAGTTTTAGGAAAAAGGAACGAAATTCGCTGGCAAAGACTAACGAGAATTTGTGGACGGTAACGTCGCAGGACGCGGTAGCTTAAAAACGAACCAACGTCAGATGGTTCTTCTGCTGATACACCAACGCCTCGTCGTGGTACGGTATGTCGGCCGCCGCGACGAACATTGGCTCCCAGAATTTGTTTGGACGCCGGATGGCTTGCACCTGAAAGAAAATTTAGTTAATAAAGTTAACCTAAATTTAATCTAATACCGATTTATTTTCCTTACATTAAATTAGTTGAATTCTAAAAACTTCGAATTTTTAAAGCAATTTTTAAGAGTGAGACTAGAATGCAAAGAGACAGTTTTATAGTCTAGTGTCGCTATTATAATTTTTTACATTATAAAGCATAACGATTCTGCAAATTTAAGTCACGGACGGGCTCCAGCCAAAGTTTACCCATGTGAATCTCCAAAATTAACCCTCCAAAGCCCTAGTTTCGTCCCAAACTATCGTGTAACTTTTTTCTAAATTTTTTAAAATCCCCCTTTTTCTTGTCAGGCCACCTTTTTGGGGGTATTTTTAGTTATTACACTTTTTAATAAAATATACTATTTTTATTTTTAACCATTAACCTCTCCTAATGTAACCTAATGTACTTTCACCGTAAAGGGGGCTGGAACGCTATTTCCCAATTTGAGTCTTGAAACGGGGAACCTATTAGTGTAAAGATTGTCGCCACGACGTCAAAAATTCTGGAAACACTTTTTACCAATTTTTACTTGAAGGAAATTTATGTTTAAAAGTGAATTTTATCGATCTTTTTGCAATTTTTTTTTGCGATTTTTCAAAAAGGTTCACACTCACCCTGGTAGTGGCCTAAATCCTACATAGAAATTGCCATCCTTATTTTTGAAACATTTTTTCTAAATTTCGAAATAACCACACTTTTTGTGTTACTCTCTTTCTACAAGGTACACGAGATGATTTTAACGAAATCCAATAACCTACGGCCATGGAATCCTCTCCTCGCTGCGACCATTCCGTCAAATTCGGGATACGGTGGCCGAGCGTAAAGTATTTCTCGTGAAAGTAGAACACCGTTTTGTTCAACCGGGAGCGCAGATCGCGAGTGGCGCGTGGTGCTCTAAATTTGAAGATGAGAGAATTTAGATGTTAAAAAATGGTAAAGAATTTTCCGAATTTAAGTTTTCTGAAAAATCAGGATTTGGAGCACGCGTCGCGTTGCCGTACGCGCCCCGTCTAAAAATTTTTAGGCTACCGCTTTTCAGTGAGGTTGTCTTTATGCTTCTTTAAAGGGCTAGTTCAACTTTTAGAGCTTGGGCTGGTGCCTTGGGAAACTATGGACGTAGGCACAGTGCGCCCGAACAGTCCCCCACTACGGCAGCTATTAGAGATCGGGAAAATGAGAGAGACGCAGACACAAAAACGTAGAGGGTTCGACTCCTGGCGGCGGAAATTCTTTTGTTTTATTGGCTGAACTAGCCCTTTAATGAGATTTAGAGATGCACGGAACACAATGTACAATTCCGCCTGTAACTGACATCAGCATCTTATGAAACATTTGGTTCTGTAGTGTGCTACATAAAAGTCGTCCAAAGTAAAAATCTCTCCCGTTCCATCTTGTGCTCCCCTTGCTGTTACTCTCCCACGCATTCTCTCACTCTTTCTCTCGCTCTCCTCTCTCTCACTCACTCATTCTCTTTCGCTTTCCCTCTCGCTAGCTCTCAGTCGTTGTCGCTCTGGCTGCTCTCTCTCTCTCTCTCTCTCTCTCTCTCTCACTCTCTCTCTCTCTCTCTCTGCTAGAAAACTGCTTTGCGCTCTTCCAAAATTAAAACAAGCATTTTTTACAAAAATTGGATCCTTAAATCCTTAGCTTGACTCTATTCTAAGTCTACACCACTCCAATCCTCACTTGGTTCCCGTTTTGTGCTCAAATCTTCTGATCACGAGCAGCTCATCGTTTTCCTCAATTTTTCGGCTTGTTGCATACGCCCGTAGCTTTTCCTCGGCACCCAACGAATATTCCTGAAAAATGAATGTTTCGAAACATGTAAGAGAGGGGATAGACTTTTTGCTATGAATTCTTGAAGCGCACTGGATTGTTCTTGCAGTTTTCCAATAAATTTTTCGGTATATCGGAAAACCTGTTGATCCCACTGATTTTAGGAACACGATAATTGCAATCGTGATTTCGCCTTTCAAACAGCCACAAATTTGATTTGCTTCACATATTTAAAATAGCGCCAAAGGAGAGCAGAACAAACTTTTTCCTTTTCTCGCATTTTTCTTTCATTTATTTAAATAAATTTTTTGACATCTTCGGAAAAATAGCGATTTAGATCCGACATTCGATTTTACCAAACGGTCTATTTTTCGCAATTTTAAAGTTTCACATTAAATAAGGTTACAACTAAAATTAAATTAGCCCCCCCCCTGGCGATAATGCGAAAGAACCGTTGTCCCTCGTTTCCTTTTCTTAAATCATACCTCTATTTCGACGCTTATTCTATGGCTTTAATGCAGGCAAAAACTCGATTAAAAAATTGGGTTCTGTTCTATTTCGCGTGGGGGGAAAAACTGTGCGGGGGGAATATGCTACGCGGAACCTTCCATCTTTTCGCTATTTTCTCGGGATTTTTGCAACGCCATTCGATAGAGCATCAAAAAAAATACTAAGAGTTTTTGTTTTAGCTAAAAATATTGTAATATAAAAAAGTTATAGCAAAAACAAAAAAGAATATTGAAACTGGTTCCGGAATGTTAGTTTTCGGCATTTTCGCCAGGTTTTCGATATTTTGAACCCGTCATTCGATAGAGCATCAAAAAATATACTCAGAGTTTTAATTTCATCTAAAAATATTGTTTTATAAAATAGTTATAGCAAAAACAAGGTTTATTCGGTGTTTCCACATGGGATCGTGGAGTCGAAAGCTAGTTTTCGACATTTTCGATAACTTTCAAAAATTTCTTTAATGCCATTCGATAGAGCGTGAAAAAATATACTGCGAGTTTTAATTACAATTCAAAATAGCAGCATATAAAAGAGTTATAAAAAAACGAAGAAAATCCCCCCCGCACAGTTTTTCCCCCACGCGAAATAGAACAGAACCAAAAATTGTTAAATCTACCTGATCCATATCGGCAAACAGCAAATATCGATGCGGAGGCCCGAATTTCCGCGCCAAATTCCTCGCAACATTAATGGGGTATTTCTCCGGGTTCCCTGCTTCGAGCAGGGGATTCGTTGAGATTACGGTAGCGTTTTCTGAAGCCGGGAAGAGAAAAATAATAAATGTGAAATGTTGGGGTTTTTTAGTTATTTTTGAATCATTGATTTTTAAAAAATAAAATTTACTTTTTTTAGTTCTAGTCTAGTTTTTAAAACGCTCGTTCAAAAATGCGCCCCCTTCAGCCTATTATTTATACCACTATTTATAGTTAAGATTCTTTTTATTCTTGGCCTAATTTCTCTGCAGCATGTCCCTTATAGTACCTTTTAATCCGCATATTTACAGGATTAGAAGATAGGTAATCGAATGCAATATGCTCTTGATTTGCCAGAGATGTCTAGTTACTTTTGAAACAGTTTTCTTTAAAATCAAAAAATTTTTTTTTGACTTTTCATACATGTAGGTGCTAAATAACTAAATAACTAAAACTAAATAACTAAAAGCTATGTTAAAAATATTTCAATAATAAAATACTAATTCTATAATACCACTAGAGAAATTCATACAGAATTTTAAAATCTGTCCCTTCGAAAAACGCCTTTTGCGAATCGGTCGAATTCAATAAACCGTCCAGAGAACACAAAATTTCTCTAGTTGCGAGTTTTTCAAAATTAAATTTATTTTTGTATTAATTGGGATAGTTAATTTTTGTTAATTTACATACCACTCAAGGAAAAGCTTGGGCAGGTCCCACTCTCATCAAGCCGGAAAAAGAATTGCCAATAGGTGTCGTTGGGGCGGTCCAGCTGGCGTTGAAAGTACCGCAGCTAAAATACGTAATGTGGGCTTTGAAAAAACTTAAGATAATTATATTGACTTGAATTACGTCTATCAATATTCTCATTTTTCCATTAAATTTTAGTACCTACCCTTCCGGTAATAATGTCGAAATTTAAAGCATCCATGCTCTCGACAAAGACAGCGGTTGAGACGACGCCATCCCAGCTGTTTGCCTGGAATCAACGAAAGGAACTAAAGAATTAAAAACCATAAAAATTGCGGCTGGCATGGCTAACAAGGGAAGGGCACACGCACAGGTTGGAATTTCGTCAGACGCACGCGGCTACCCCCGGGTAATCGACTATGGAGAACACGATGCCGCTGTCCGATTTTCCTGCCGAACCCTGTGGACAGAGATACAGCACTTCCGGAAAATTATGATTTACATGCGAAAAATTAGAATCCGGGGAAGGTTTATTAGGCCCTCCCATCAGTATGCGATCACCGGTTGAATGGCCGATTGGTAAGCAACTCGCTTGATAGGATACTGACACGGGTACGGATCCGCTCGTGATTTTTTCGTTTTGCTTTTTGACAATTTTTTTTTTGCAGAAGAAGTCCACAACTTTTCCTAAATGTGTAAAAATACTCATTTGAAGCCGTATAATACCTCTAGCATTCAAAGAAAAACTTTTTCGAAAAATTTTCTTTTTCCAATGATTCGAGCATCCATCGACCCAACGGCTTATCAAATTCACCAATTTAGGAAAATTTTTATGAAAACGCTGTCTAACGAACTTGACCAGGGCCCTTAAACAGGATAAGTGTTGCAAACCAAACTAGAGCGTCACGCTTGGCTTGGGCAAAAATTTTTCCCCCATGATTTTTTGATAGTTTGACAGCCAATGGATGCTCGAATGATTGGAAAAACAAAATTTTTCGAAAAAGTTTTTCTTTGAATGCTAGAGGTATTATACGGCTTCAAATGAGTATTTTTACACATTTAGGAAAAGTTGTGGACTTCTGCAAAAAAAAATGTCAAAAAGCAAAACGAAAAAATCACGAGCGGATCCGTACCCGTGTCAGTATCCTATCAAGCGAGTTGCTTACCAATCGGCCATTCAACCGGTGATCGCATACTGATGGGAGGGCCTAATAAACCTTCCCCGGATTCTAATTTTTCGCATGTAAATCATAATTTTCCGGAAGTGCTGTATCTCTGTCCACAGGGTTCGGCAGGAAAATCGGACAGCGGCATCGTGTTCTCCATAGTCGATTACCCGGGGGTAGCCGCGTGCGTCTGACGAAATTCCAACCTGTGCGTGTGCCCTTCCCTTGTAAGGGATTTTATGGCAAGTATGACTGAAGTCCTCGAATTGCTGTCTTAAAAAAATTGTTTGAGCACCAACTCTATGAAACACCTACAGGGGCGTAGCTAGAAAAAAATTTCGGGGGGCCCCGAAAAATTTTTTCCGAATAACTCAAAAAATTAACGAAAAAAACAGCGCCGCAGGCGAAAAATTTTGGAAAAAAGGCTACACAGCTCTACAAATAGCAGTAAAAACGTGAGAAAATAGCGCCGCAGGCAGCAAAATTTTTGAGAAAATAAAAATCACAAGGGTCCCCCCTTATGAAATTTTCGGGCCCCGGCCGATTTCGGGGGGCCGGGCCCAGGGGGCCCACCTTACGCTACGTCCCTGAACACCTACACACGAAAACTAGCAATTCATTTTAGGAAAATTCTTTCGTAGTTTTGTGAATTAAAAGGCGTGGACTTTTTAGATCGATTACCATTATTAACGAAATTATGCGACTTTTTATTTTAATATTAATTTTTAATTATTTTGGCAAGCGCAGCGCCATCGTTGCGTATCGCGGGCGTCGAAAACGACCCAAGGAATTGGCTGCATACCCACTCCTCTTAAAAAAATACCTTTCTCTTCGTTTTTAAAAGATTTTGAGGGTGATTCCAATCACGCAACACTAACAATGAGCGGTTTTTGGGTGATCTTGGAATTTTGCGATGTGACATAGCTCATTCGATAGAGCTTGTAATCCGGAACAAATCCCAGCTTTCAAAAACTGCTAAACGACTACGGTTTTCGAGAAAATTCGCTCTGAAAGGACCGATGTTGACTATTTTTGACACCAACTTAACAAAATACGAAATTTGAGAAACTGATTCTCGAAGACCGCTATCGTTCGAAATTTTTGGAAGATGGGACCTCTCCAGATTTTGAAGCTCTTTCGAATGAGCTATGGCGCATCGCAAAATTCCCAGGTGACCTAAAAACCAGCCCTTGCAAGCAACATGGCACCATTAAGCTATTTCCGAGCCAAATTTCGTCCTGCCCACGCAAAACATTTTTGTTTGTTTCTTTGACTTTGAGGAAAATAAAAAATAAGTTATTTTTATTGCTACGACGCAAGCTTTTGACCAAGATGCCTTTTCGTTATTGTCTTCCGCCATAATCCCGAGTTCCGAAAATTGTCGGAAACATTTAATTTTATCCAAGGCTCCAATTGACGAGAGCTATTTGCACTGTTTGACCGTTTCGCAAGTTTTTGATTGAAATTTGGGCCTGGCTATGGGATATATTACATTTTTCTCTGAAAATATGTTCGCAAGTTTTGATGAAATTTATAATTTTGTGGCCTTGTCGAAATTTCAAGGCGCTGTCGTTTCACTTGGCGGGCTGTTTGAGATGAATAATCGGGGCGAAAATGGCATTGAAACATCGACAAATTGAAGGTTCGACAAAATTATATTGCGGCAAAATGCTTTTCGACAAAATGAAAATAAGCCTGGAACCCCAACTTGAGAAAACTTCCCATCCCGGATTGCAGGTTGTGCATCAAAATCCTTATATTCTTTCGACGAAACATATTTTTTGAAGAGTCAAAAAGACAAAAATTACGTAGAAAATGCTAAAGCTATCAAATTTCAAAGCGAAGATAGTTAAACCTGGTGCTAAACCCTTTTTACAGCTCGAATAAATAAAATGCTTACCGTTTTCAAAAATCCCTGGTCCAAATACCCGAGCGATGTGTGGAGGGCCATCAAAATTCTCTGTTCCGCATCTCCGTCCTTTGCCGGCGTCGCGAGTACATTCTCGTACACGCAGAATTCGCCGTATCTGCTCGGTTCGAGCAATCCGGTGGAGTTTTGCTGAAATAAGTTTTAATTTTGTACAAGAGACCGATCCTTATTGTCGTGAGAAGTCTGCGCCAAAGATATGACTGAATCGTAACATTTAAATTTTATTGTTTCAAAGTCAACAAGACACCAAGAAAATTGTATACAAATCTATATGAAACTTATGGATTTAAGTATAATTATCTAGAGGCACCCTGTGTTAATTCTTTATCGGCATACAGAAAATTTCGGATCGGGCAATTTTCTATACTAGAAGAAATTTTATTTATTAAAATGTGGTAGAACGATTTTTGGGACATTGCGACTAATGCATAGTTCTTCAGCCAAATTCGTATTGCAAGTTCTCACCAAAAATTATATCGTGATCGAAACACGTGAATTTCAAGGGTTCCAAAAGATTTGAAAAATGCCGAAAGTTTTCTACTTTTTTCGATTGTCGTCATTCATAATTTTGACATTCATCCTGTCGAAATTTCATATCGTCGAAATTCGTAGTGGCGAAATTCGTAACGCCGAAATTCAAAATGACAAAGTTTCGAAGTGTTCCCTATCTCACCTTTTGATCGTTGATTTTTACTGCTTACTAAATTAGATTTTTAAAAGCTTTTTAACTTTTCTGGCATTTTAAGATATAGATTTTTTTTTTAGATTTGAACTCGAAAATATTGTTCTGTTCTGAAAAACAGGACTCGACCTACCGTATCCCGCTGGACCAATCGAGCAAAGCGCCGCCTGGCCGCATACCGTACGCCTGGATCCGTGACGGCAATCAGCACAAGCATGGTATGCACGATCATTAATGCGGCCATCACCAACAATGCACTCATCTGACGAAAGAAAAAATGTGTTGAGCCATGTTATTCACAGAATTCTTTGGATTTCGTTAATTTTTGTAACCCCTACGTAGATTACGTAGTTTTCATTCATGCACAAATTTTATTTTTGGATATGTGGATAATGCAGGGGAGAAAACTATGCTTTAGCAAATCTCAGAGTCAAATTACATGATTTAATTAATCTGCGCAAGTCTACCACGGTTTTCATTCGAACAGGGAATTAAGTATTGTTCATTAAAAACTCGTTTATTCTTGTTCATTAATCCATTTTAAAGATCTATCGACTCTACTATTTATTTTTAAAAAATCTTTTTTATTGACAGTTTAAATAAAAGAGTTGTCTGCAAGCTAGCAGATTGAAAATTTTGGTGTTTAATTGACTTTTCACCTATTTGCAAATGATGATCCATTAAGCTGTTGGATTTCTAATTTTATGAGCATTGAGATTCGATCAAAATTTTTGGTATTTTTACACATTCGGACGATTAGGAATGGACTAATGCCTTTTTATTATTTGAAATACATTAATGGTTTTTTGAATTTACAAGCTTGGCTCGTCCTTAATAGAGGATAAAATAATTTTTGGATTTGAAAAGTTTATGAAACATTCAGAATTAATAAAATGCATATAATTTCCTTTAACATAAAACTTACCGTCTTTTTCCACCATCGAGCCATTTGGTAGAGAAATTCGGGATTGGTAATTTTTTTTGGCGTTCCCCCCTCCACTGCCGAGACTTATAAAGGCCGGCGATTTTTCGGGGTGTCTCTTTTTGGTAAAATGTCCTTGTTACACTTTATGTCCATATCCCGGCTACCCAAATAACCGTTTGATCGTAGCGCCACGGCAAAAAAAACATGGGAAGACTCGTGGAAACATTGTCCAGAGACCGAGTGGGATCACTTTTGCTGGACGGGATTTGTTTAACCGGGATTGGTGGTGCCGGAAATTGAGAGTGGGGCGATTTGCAAAGTTGTGACCTGCGGTACCGTTTTAGAATTTAACGGGAGCTCACCAAAATTCCGGGTTTACCAAATGCCGACAGACATACTACCGAAAATCATGATGTCGGCATCTTATTCTCGAAAATCCGAAGTTCGAAATTTCAAAATCTGAGAAAATCATGACGTCGGCATTCCTACTTTTGAAATTCGTCACGTGGAAATTGCAAAATGCTGAACGTCAGGATGTCGAAAATCAGAATGCCGAAAATCTTGATGTCAAAAGTCGTACTGTCGAAGTCACATAATGCCGAAATTTCCGAATTTCGAAATTACAAAATGTCTAAATTTACATAAGCATGTTTCTCGGAAAAACCCCCCAAATCTCAGGGCAGCATTTTGGCATCCTGGAATTTCGTGAAATTTCGAAATTATAGGGCCCGGCATTATGAGGTTTCGACATTATGAAATTTCGACACCATGATTTTTGCATTCTTCTATTCGACATTATCATACCAAATCCCAAAATGTCGACATCAAAAAATCCGGAAATCCTGAGCCGCCCCAGGTCAGAGTCAACGCAAAAATGCCGATTGCTATAGCTTAATTACTGTTTTAGCCTTTCGGCTATTTGAATTGTCGGCATTTCGGATGTTGGCTTTCTAAATTAAGTAATTTTCGCCTTCGTTTGCTCACACAGCTTTCCAATGCTCCTAATTTTGTCCATAATTTTTTAAACTTCCACAAAGTTAAACAAAAATAAGGCATTTTCCACGCCTCCCTCCCCGGTAATGCCACAGCACCAAAGCTTACAGGTTCGTGAAGGGGGGCTATTGAATTGTCTAGGAGCTAGGAGCTAATTCTTTCATTTTTAATGTAAGCTAGTAAAACTTTTTAACGTAAACGTAAGCTATTCATAATATGGGAGTTGCTGCACCTGTTTTGCCTGCGTTTTGTGAAACCATTAACTTTAATTCAAGAAACAAGGATTTTGATAAGGTATCGCAACTGTGTATCACAACTTTGTCCCTTTAGCTCCTGAGCTTCTGAACGTTACTTTCCGTTTTAGGACATCTATTTTTGACCAGCACTTAAGTTCTGTACGAAAATTTTTCCGAGAATTAGGTTTTTATGGCACATTCAATTCTAAAGACCTCAAAAAATCTTTTAAAAAAATTAAAAAAGTGGTTTGAAAAAGATTGCATGTTTCTATAATTTTATTAAACTTATGTAGTAGTTAGTAATTTTTAAGGCCCTTTGACAAAACGGCTTCTAATCATTAAAAAATTTAGCAATTACCTTGAATTTTCTTTGCTATTTTTGAGAAAGTAAAGTTACCAAAGATCCTCAAGTTAATAATATTTTGAAATGACAACAACCACATATTTTTTTGAAACGTTCTATAATGCTCTTGAAGGAAAAGATGGCTACCAAATAAACGACCCGTATTTATTCAAAATCGTGCATTACACTCAAAAAATATATCCAGCCAGCGCTTTTCGTACAACACGTCTATAGACGCTAGTAATGAGATCAATTCCGGTATGCGTCAAATGACACCCGTTATCGCGGTAGGCCAGCCGAGTCGCCGGGTCGAACGTCCGGATTAAATGCGCGGTTTCGTCTAAAAAAGTTATTAAAGCTTACTTAAGGTAAAATTTCATAAAATTAACGTAAACCTTTTGTTTTTAGTAGTCCAAATAGTTTCACGTGTTTTACAATGGTGAAACAAATATTTAAAATTGAAGTTACGCAAATTTAATTTGCCTGTGCTTATTAGGCATTTCAACATCTTCTATATTTTACGGGGCTTTGAAACTCCTTTTTTCTATCTACGGCTATAAGTGAAATTTTTATGATTTTGCCATTAATCAATCCCGGAAACCTACATAAATTAAATTTTCTAATACAATAAAAAACCGTTTTGGCAGTTTTTTAATTTATTTTTGCTATGTTGTATCCTGGATCCCGAAAATTTGCTTAATTTAGCTCTCAAAAACTGTCACAAATTTTGTAAGTTCTCCAAAATTTTAACCAAGATTCCTCACCAATAAACGGTATCGCCGGATCGATTAGATGACACTTCTGACATCTCTTCAAAACAGCCCGCAATCTCTGCCGCACCGAAACTGCATCGAATTGGGTTTTCTGAATAGATTTTCAGACGCGAATTTAAAAATGGGTTTCAAAAGCTCGCCAACAAATCTTTTTGTTCATCAGTTCACTACCTGATAGCTTCGAAATTGAACTCAAAAATTGTTGGCCATGTGACAAAAGTGTGTTTTGTATTTAATTTTTAAATAGGATTTTTTTATAATGCTAGAATATTCTTGATTTTTAATGTTCTAATAGGACCCACCTTCGAAATAATTTCAATTTAATTTAGCCTCAAAAAATGTTCACTTCAAGCAGCTCGAAATTGTAGAATTTTTTTCAGTAAAAATTGCATGACTAGAATAATGGAAAGCAAAATACGCTCCATTAAAGCGAGTATTTGTGATTCCCAATTATAAGGTTCCTATTTTTTTTAAAACGTGTTTCTTTATTACTAAGCTTAGTAGAAGCCGATAATTACTTAATGGTTCGTTTCTGCTCGACCAGCAACATAATGAATTACGACCTTAATATACCAGTTGCAGCTGCGGAATTAAACCAAATTTAAATACGAGGAAATACTCACATCATACGGCTCATTAAAAATGTCGACATTCTTGCCGAAATTCAAATGATCCACAAATCTGTTGAGAAAATCGTGCGTCGCATCGCTACAATCAAACGGCTGATGGCCAAGGATGAAGATGTGGTCGGCGAATTTGCTGGAAAAAATATGTTTCATGCTAAAAAATAGCGATGATATTCCATTTCTACATAAAAAAAATCCCCGTTCTGGACAAATGAAAGTTTACACTTTATAACAATAAAGCACATAATAAAATATAAAACACATAATTCCACCCGGCTCACGCTGAAAAAAGTGAACATGCGCTCTCTGCTCCTTTAAATAAGCTACCCCCACTTCCGGTGTATGCTAATTGATTCCTAACAAAGAGGGTCTCGGATTTTCCAACAAAAATTAAAATTTAATGTCGAAAATAGGCGATTTTGGTAAATCTGATATGCGTGCAGTCATCTCCAGACCATTACCCACCTATTGACGTATCAAAAATGCCCCTAACTACTCTCCTGCTTGAGATACTGCTGGAACACGCTGACGGAAGTTGCACGCGAAGTGGAGCACACACACAGACACTATTTTTTATATATAGTAGGCTATTAACATTTAGAGATGTTTCAGGGGTTTTTATAGATTTTATCGCATTGATTTATCGTTTTTATCGACTTCCCTTACTTTGTTTACAACATTTTAATTATACGCTAAACGGCCCAAATACGTGAGTTTTCTTTGAAAAAATTAGCCGTCTTCGCCCTAATTTTTGTAATTATTTGGTCAGCGAACGGCGAATCAAGATTTACTTTCGGCGAACGTCCAATAATATTGTGTGTAACATTTTAATTATATGTTTGCCGTCAGGATCCTAAACAGGGGAAAACGAGTGTGCAATTATGACTACAATCAAATTTCGGCAAGGCGGTACCGATTTTTATGGAACATTCATTTTCCGTTAACATACCTCAGTCGATCGATACTCTCCATATATTTCTCCAGCAGGGTGTCATTCCCTGGCCTATACGCATCCAAATCGCCCAACACGTCTACGTATCTAAACTCAATGTTTTAATGCTTAGATTATAAAAATTAGAAGACCGGTAACGTGCAATTATTAATCTTTCTGATTATCTATCTGCCTTCTCGGCTTTTGAAACATCACAAAAATGAAGCTTAGGATTGATTTTAGCGAATACAATTTATTGACGGATTCAGAGAAAATAATTTTAGCAATTAAATTATTACCTGACTGGGCATTACGCATTAAAAATAATTTAATGATGATTTTACACACTTCAATTGGTCGTTAAATAATTAGCATGCCTGAGCTCAAAGAAATCAAATTATTATTCAGGTATCGTTTTTAACTGAATGCCTTTTAAAACCCACAGAAAATTAAACAAACTGCTTTAACAAATTTAAGTGAAGCAACTCGGGGAAATTCTATCAAAAAAATCATAATTCATATCAAAATAATTAAAAAATATAATAAAATTCACAGTAGATTCCATAGTAATCTAGAGCAAAAATTATCACGAAGAGAAGAAAAATCAGAAACTTTAGAGCCGTACTATGCATTGTCCGAATTGATTTTCCTCACGAATCTAAGCACCTTGTTAACTTTTGAAACACTAGAAATTTGGAAACCTTACTATTAATGATATTTTAGCTAATCAAACCGTCACTTTACCGGCTTTTAAACAAGCAGAAATTTGAATTATAATAATTAAAAATTTAGTGAACCGATTTTAGTCAGTTGGAATTAATAGAAAACCAGGGTTGAAAAGCCGCTACGCGGCTTTTCACCCCTGGCCTTTGCGGTGGTATCTTTAAAAGCTGCGCACGTTGGATAATTCTGGCGAATTAGCGCCAACCTCTCAACTAAATAAAACAAAAGCGACCGAATGCGAGCGTGACAAAATCCGAAATGAGCCCCTTAACGGCTCGTATGCAAATGAGTACATTTCCATATGTTTTAAAAAGACTAAAATAAGGTACGAATCGTCATTTTCTTAAAAATCTGATAAGCGGGCGGTAATCTACGCCTTCGAATACCCCTAAATACGTTTCAGTTGGACCCTAAAACGCTTTTCCCGTCCTGACATCTCAATAACCCGGTTTTTTCGAGCCTTTTATGCAAAGTGTCTACACACACAAGCACTATTTTTTATATATAGTAGGATTAGTGACAGAACGTGACGATCGCTATTACGCTTTAACGAATCGTTTTTTAGCTTGTTGGCGTCTAAAACATGCAATATTAAGAAATTTAGACTAGACCATCATTAATTTTCGATACCTTTGCACGATGAAGACGATTTTCGGGCGCTTCTTTTCCATAAAACGCCAAAAAATCTCGGTGCCTCCTAAAAAAGTTATGGACTCAAAGTTATACAACTCAAGTTGATGACCATTTTTGGGATGTTAAATAATATGTTTCAAGAAAAAAACGTATGCATGTTAAGTTTTGCTGATTTAATGCGATTAGCATTCTGTACGCACTATTAGATTTTAATGAACCTACCCTTCAAATAATGCCATATCACACCGCGTGACGGGAAAGTGAACGCGTCCATGCTTGACGTTACATTTTCAGGGAGCAGCTCCCGGACTATCTAAACAAATAGAATTACACTAATATTTTCGCGAAATTTAACAAATTATAATGTTCTAAAACACATATTGAAACCATGTTTTAGAAAGCTGGCTTTTTCCAAAATCAGCGTTTTAGTTCTATTGTTTGTTACGTAGTATGTATTTTTAGGTATTAGGCAAATTAAAAAATAGCATTCGCCCAGATTTTAATTAGTTGTAGTTAATCGTGGTGAAATTAGAAAGCTAATAGTTCGGTTCAAAACAAAATTAATTACGCCATTTTATGAAACGTTCATTTTTTAATTCTTGATTTTGTAAATTTTTGCAACATACATGTGCCTGCTGGCTGGCCCACGAATTGCCGACAACAACCACGCTCAAGTTGCCAGTGTTGTTCTGAAATTCATGATTTTTTTAGACTGGAAATATGGTGTTTCATATTTAAAGGGTCAAGCGCGTCCAACTAATATTATCAATGTGACGCTACCGCCTTGGCGCATTAATGGATTACGACACTGGCCAAAATCGGCCATATTCGCATGCGCGTTGCGTATTGCGTAGCGTGTCGCGTGATCGTTACGCGGTCCATGAATCTGATTAATAAAATAAAAAAATGGCCCGTGGGCTCAGTGGGCCGTTTAGGCGGCATTAAATACGCGCCTCACGGTTACGCGAATTACGGACATTCGTCTTTGAAAGTAAAGATTTCAATCGGTTTCATATGCTTGTCTAAGGATACGTTGCGAAAAGGTTAATTCCGCTGTTAAAAATTATGTTTCCAAAAATGCCTTCTTGTACATTGCTGCATCTCTACCAATCACAACGCCTTCTTTCTTCTATTTCCGTTTTGGAATTCCACCACAAGGTGCATCATTCTGAGTTTAATTTCTGAGATTTTGGCATCTTAATATTGGTGCCAAATTAAAACTGGATATTCGGAATTTTGACAGGGCGGGATACGGGAAGAAGGTTTAACCAATTTTGGTTTTTATTTACAAAAATCTAATCGAATTTCAGTGCCACACAAAAGCCTATTGAATGTTACTTGAAACACTTCTATTTTAATATTTTTGAACGATTTTCATTTGCAAAAGCCGCGGAAGCCGTTCGGAAATTACGCAAATAATTCGGTAGGCACTCAGATTTTCGAAACTCACATTTTCAAAACTCATATTTTCGAGAACCCATATTTTCGAAACTCATATTTTCGAAAACTCATATTTTCGAAACTCATATTTTCGAAAACTCATATTTTTGAAACACATATTTTCGAAACTCATAGTTTCTTAGGTTTTCCCGGGTGACCTAAGCCTATCCAAAGCTGTAAATATTAGTTTTCGAAAATATGAGTTTCGAAAATATGGGTTTTCGAAAATATGAGTTTCGAAAATATGAGTTTTCGAAAATATGAGTTTCGAAAATATGAGTTTTCGAAAATATGAGTTTCGAAAATGTGAGTTTCGAAAATATGAGTTTCGAAAATATGCAAGCAAATCAAATAATTCTCTGGTTTTGCCCATTGATTTAGTGCGGTCCATTGATCTTCTACCTTCAATATGGAATTAGATTAACCCGTTCCAAAATTCGCGCAAACTGGCAATAGCAGTCATTTATGATTCCTAAATATCTTTTTTTTATTTAATAGTACTATTTAAAACCAAAACTTAATTAGCGGCAGGTTCCAATTTTGTGTGCACCAATGTCGCTTCAAAATCCACATAAAACATCTACAGCGATTAATGAAACAAACAAATTTTTATATTTTAAGAGCTTGCATTTGAGAAAGTTACAAGTAGGCGGGACTTAATAACAACACTACTCCATTTTCTGACCTTTATAAAATTATAACCGCCTACCAGCCATTCGTAATGTCCAAACGGCGGTGGTGACACCGAGTGTCCATCCAAAAAGCCATCATCCACATAATGGCCACCCTCCAGTTTATATTTCGTCTCGATGTTTCGTATATTTGTGTTGCTATCTTCTGGTTGAAATGGATGAGCGGCATTTGGCCAGAATTGGGCGAACAACAGCCCAACGATCAGCGGCAGGAGAATATTTTTGGCGGTGTCAATTGGAGCGGCGCGTAGTTGGGGTTTTTCGAAGAACTCGTGGATTATGATGCTCAGCAGAAGGGAGAGGGGAAGGGCAACGAGGAGCACTGGAAAATTTTGTTTTAGATAGTTTTAATTTGTTTCAATTTTGTTTTGAACTTGTTTTTCAAATTTAATCCAAAAAGTAGGATTTAATCTTAATTACATTTCAATTTAAATTTTAGACGAGTATTAATTAGTTTCCAAACAGAGCATTTTGCCCTGATTCGTCGAAAAGTTGCAGCGAGATTTCTGCGTATCTAACGCGCGCATTCAAATTTGTCCACGATTCCAGGGGAAATAGCCCCTTTAAAATTTTTACTTATGTTTTTTATCAATTTGAATTCTTTTTAAGCTCACTTTTTTTCTGAACAGCTAAATTTATCAAAAAAAGCCCGAAGATTCCATTATGGTTTAGAAGTTTAGCATATATAAAACTCGTCCTCTCAGTCAATTTAAATTAAAAACGGTCAGAACTTTTTACATAATGTATGCTTTAAAATACTATTGTTAGTTATAGAATAAGGGAAAAATAACGTTTCAAAAATTCTGGGGGTCACATCGACAAGATATACCCCAATTCGGTTCGCCGACGATTGTGTCTCTAACCGTTTGTCCAAACTTGATTTAGGCTAAAATAAAAATAAAATAAAATTTACATTTTAATGGAAAGAGGACCGAAACTCGACTAAATAACTAAAAAAGTTAAAGCCAAAGCAAAAGAAGCTTTTTTCCAGGGAGATCCTACTATAAAACGGGCTAAGGTTCTAAACTAATAATTTTTTTAAACCCACTTTAAATAAACCAGAAAACCATGAATCCAGTTAAATGTGAGCTTTAAAACAGCGAAAAATTAAAGGTAAAAAAATCTAGAGCATCGGAAGCAAAAATTGCTTTTTTTAGGGGGCGTAAAAGCCGGAAAACCTAAAGGCTGAGATTTTAGAATTGTGTTTCAAGGAAATGACCTGTTTGAGAGATGGCTAAGAAAATAATAACAAGCCGGATTCGATCAATTCTCAAGGAAACGTAAAATTAAGTCACCGGAAGTGCCGGGGAAGAAATACGGCTGCAAATATTCGGCGTACCGCAGCACTGGGTAGTGGATTAAATATAGCGAATATGATATTGCGGCGATATATCCGAGTCGAGCCCTCGACCAATCGATAGTACTGTAAAAAAAATTTGAATTAAGAACAAGCAGATTTATAAAGTGAATTTTTCTGTAGACCAAATTTGTGAAATTTAGGTTCGGCAAACCATCTGGAATTATAAATGTTTGAAATTTTTTTCACTTCTCAATATTTTGTAACAGTACTTTCTAAAAATAGGATGAAATCGCTACAAAGTTAATTCCTAATCAATAATCCACTTTAAAGGTTACAATTTCGGTGCTGGCCTGTTACCGGGGGGCGAAGAGGAAGAAGCCGGTTTGTTTTTCTCAGTAATCCCGGACAGCCCTATGACGAAATATAGACCATTTTTATAGCTTCTGAAACATTTTTTGCCGTAAAAATCAAATAAAAAGCCAAAATTACACAACGTTTAATTTTTGATAGAAAAATGCATAAAAAGTGAGCGAAAAACTTTTCGAGTTCTCAAAATTTTTCATTCTTTATAGCTGGCTAGCATTCAAAAAAATACCACAAAAGCTATAAAAATACATTATATATTATTAACGGGTAGATTTATAGATTAACGGGCTAAAAATGCTAGGAAACCGAATGGCGGCTCACAAAATTATTAGGTAAGAGAATTCTAATTTTTAAATTTTTATGAAACACACCTTCCATAAGAGGCGGTCCCCAGAAACGCAGCCGCTGCCAGCGTCACCACAATTTTCGCCTCCTTTGCGAAAACTATCAGCTGCCCCCAGGGCAGGAATAAGGTACATAGGAAGGGTACGGTGAACACGGGGATCAGCTCGATTTTCGTGGATGCTTTCGAGTCTAAAATATTTTTTTTGCGATTGCCTTTATAATGGCTATTTTTGAAGACTTCTGGTGGTAGTCAACGGTGAAACCTTATTATTTAATGATTTTTTTAATTTTAAGTGAATACGAAAATTATTTTTACGCATATTTTTTGGTAACACTTCACTTTACCACTTTACTTTTCCCAGCCGAAAGTTCCTAAAAGTTTATATTGTCAAACTTGTTTTGTACAACATTATTTTTGAGCTGTAATTGAAACCCTTAGTATATTTTTATGCTCTATCGAATGGCCGAGCAAAAACACCGACAAAATCGCGGAGGTGTCGAAAATTGGCGGGGTTAAGTAAGGTTTGGCCATTTTCTTAAAACCTCGAAGCTGATTTTATAACATTTTTGATTAAACATTATCATCTCTGTTTGTAATTTATTTTATTGTATTCGAGCTGAAACACTAATTTTCAAAGTGACTGAGGACTAGGAGCTTAAACAATTCGATAAGTTACAATCTTCATAAAAATTCTGGGGAAAATAGCAAAATTTTGGATTCAGTTCATCGACCAAATTCACTACCAACTACCGCCAATTTATATTGCTTAAATTGAATTGAGTGTGAAACATTATTTAATTTAATGGCTAGCATTTTATTTAGAGCGAAATGGAATTCAGCATCGGATCTTACTATTATTTAACAATTATTAACTCTATTAAATTAAAATCATTAACAACATTTGCAATTTTTGTGTTTCAATGAATCGTCAAAAGCAAAATTCCAGAAAAGCGATAGTGCGTATTAAGCGTACCAGAAAAGCGAAATGTCTATATTTTTTCTGTTTTCACTTTTGATTTGTATCATTTTTCAGCTACTCTAGTTTTTGTCGAGACTCTATTTAACTGAAATCTAATATTAGACGAGATAATAATAGGGGTGATGAACGATTAATTTAAGAAAATCATTTTGAGGTAGCGGAATCGAAAGTCATCAACTGCAACAATTTAAATAAAATCATAGCAAAAATATCCAGTTCACAAACTACATTTCAATTGCCGAGTGTGAAAAAACGTGTTTTAATTGATCGCCGAGCTAACATTCAAGTATCCATTTTAATAGGCAGTTGGTAGCGTGGGAACCAAATAACATATAAAACTGTGATTGTTTTAAAATCCAAACATAAGAGTAAAACGATACCTTCGCCATCTCCTTTCGACAAAGCACAGGCCAACATCCCGGCCGCAAATTGCCAAAGCCTCGAAAAGGGAAAGTAGAAGGAATAGGCGGCATTGACGAGATAGTCGAAGATTAGGGATGAAAATAACAGGACGGCCAATGCGTAGAGACCCAGTGGGCCCAGTTCTGAAAAAGGGGCGTGGCTTAGAGGAATTCTAGCTATAGTCCCGGCACCCAAAATCCCGACAGCAAAAATGTGATATTTCCGGTCGTTTTACCGATAAATTTTAAACTCAGGGGTTTCTAGCTGTCGGGATTCCGGCTGCCGGTATTTTGAATTGAATGTCATGATTTTAGCGTTTTCCAGGTTTGAAGGGCCGAGGAAATAGTCATTAATCTCAAAAATTAAATGCGGGCGAGACCGATTACGACATTTAATCCCCGGACGGCTAAAGTTTCATTAAATCCCGTTCCAGTACGTTTTAGTTCCAATTCAAGTATTCCAATATAAAATTTGATGCTTGCTAGTTTTCTGGGTGAAACATCAAAATCGCCACGCTTGGCTGAACTTGTATTTTGCTATTTTACGTCTACACAGAATGACATAAAGGCATCGGCGCAGTGATCCCGATAAATCAAGTTTAAGATCCAGACGAATGATTTTTTGCAATTAATAACTGTGGCGCAAACATCTAATTTAAAAGGTGGCAGTGGCGGCAGACAGCCCATTAAAAAACCACATCACCACTCGCCATCTTTACTGCTAGAAACATTTTTCACTGTCGGCAGGGATTTACATTATTTTAATTCTAGATTTTTAAAGTTTTACGATTGTCAAAAGTTTTATTTTTTTTAAATCTGGATTGCGTTTTTAATTTGTTGATTGATCCGAAAACTGTCGAAATTTTTATACCTACTTACTTTGCGTATCTAAATTTTTGAGTGCTAACTGCGTAGATGCTTTAAAAAATGGTCTATATTTGGTTAATATTTTACGTATAAAGTACGGGAATTACTAGGAAATATTTGGTTTCCCCGATCATAAATCCCCCGCTAACAGTCCGGTCCTGAACTAAATTCGGAAAAATTCTACTTTATTTTTGCAGAGCATCTCCAAGACAATTTTAGTAGTTTCACCCAAATTTAGAATGTTTTGTAGTTTTTCGTCTCTCCGAAAATACATGTTTCACGGAAAGAACGTATACCTTGTTTTGAAAAAGCCTCAATGTCATTAAGGCAACTAACTTGAGCACCGTACGCTGGCCATAAAATAGATGGCTGGGGCCACCAAATAGAATTGCATCTCGACGGCCAGTGACCAAGCATGTAGAAATGGCATCGCTTCGGTGGCCTGCAAAAAAGGTGTGTTTCGTAAATCCATGGCGTTTTTATCACTTTCTAGGGGGCATTGCTGTCCCGATTTTTCCTTAGATATTTTTGATTTAAGCAATTACGCCGCATTAAATAAAAATCTTCTCAGGGTTGGTGTCGCACAAAAAATGGACTCTTTCGGATTATCGGGAGGGGGGGGGGGGGGCGCAAAATTTTTGTATAAATGAGAAATGCGATTTAAATTAAAAGGAAATGTTTTAATGATGTCCAATTTCATAAAAAGAACTATTTCTAATAGCGTTTTTGTCTCAAAAAATCAAAAAGTTTTAAAAAAGCAAAATATTGTTCAAAATCGACAACGGAAAATATGTTTGGCGAACTCTGGTAGTTGTGCTAATTTTTCGGCCATGATTGCGTTGAATCGCCTTTGCTCCTAACCCTTCAGCTTATAATAAAAGGCACGTTGAAACTTTAAATCCTTGATATTAAAGTTGTTGACGAAGGCTATACACCACTGCACTATTTTTAGAGAGCTAGCAATTTGTAAGACTATTTTTATTATCACCGGTTTGGCCATTAAATTTTTTAATTGGTGACCCGAGCGAAAAAATGTTTCGAGGCACCCAGTAGTTTTCCCAGGTTTTGAATTCTGTAATCTCTTACCAGTTCATTGATCTGATAATTCTGATTTGTATTCTACGGCGTTTTTAGTCAGGTTGAACTCAATTTTTCTGCATTTTAGAAGGTAGCTAAGTTATTAAAGCCATACTCGTCATTCGATTCTACACCCACTTTCAAAATAGATGTCTCGAAAAATTATGTTTCATAGGATATTGGCCCTGATTCCAAATAGCCAGCTATAATGACGTCCAGATGCTTCGATCCCCATTCCCGTGGTCGAGTTCATGCCGTTAGAATTAAATGTTTTCAATATTATAAATATTTCGAAAATGGGAAATGAATGCAAATTTAAGGCAACAGTTCCATCTTACACCAAAAACGTCTGAATCTTCACTTTGAAATTTTCGTTGTGCAGGGTGCCCGAATAAAAAACATCCCCGCGAACTCGACGCAGAAGTATCGGATCGGAATGATAATTACACCATTCGAAATCCCTTGAAACGGCCAGTTTGCAACAATCTTCATAACCAGGTTTTTTAAACGTGCCATTTTGCAACGCATTTCCAAACATTACGGAACAGCGCCAGCTTTTAAATAACCGCGACTTCCGGTCATTTTGCCTGAATAAATTAAGGCAAAATCATTCGTATGCGGCCTAAAAAAACCGGAAAATGTTACAAAATGGTTTTTAAAATGGTGCGTTTCAATAAAAACATGGCTTTGAAGATTGTTGCAAACTGGCCGTCTCAAGGGCTATCGAATGGTGCACCTATCATTACGATCCGATACTTCCACGTCGAGTTAGAGTTATTATTGGGACACTCTGTATTAACGCTTTTCAAAAATAAACTAAAAATAATAAAATTTTCGAAAAAATTTCACCTACAAAGCTTTAGACTACAAAATACAATAATCGTGAAGCCTATTAAGATGGCTTACCCTTAGTTCGCCGAATTTCTCCAAAAATTTTTTACCTTGTTTACGGAAGAGGATTACTTGGCTTGAATCCCGCTGAGTTAAGCACTTTTTCGAAACATACCTCCGCAAAATAGTCACCATCGCTGAACAACAAATCCACGTTTAGATACATCATCAATGCTTGCCGGAAATGGCCGAGAAATCTGGTCAACCACCCGGCCGAATAGATGAAGATTGAGGAAAAGCCTGGAATTATAGAATTGTTAAGGTATCGTAGCTTTAAATTCAAGCGGTAATTCGAAAATTCTTTTTAAACAATAAAATATTGTTAATATTTAATTTATATAAATAGCTCTAAATTTTTAACGGTATTTACATCCACTTACCAATCGCCAACAACACAAAATAATATAGCGGGCAGATACGCCGCAAACGTTTGTAGTAAAAATTGTAAATCTTCATGTAGTATGGCGACCGGTCACTCGCCAGAATACCCATGATTAAATACCCGGAGATCACGAAGAATCTGAAAGAATGTAATTTGGGGGTGCTTTTGCATTATCGGGGGGGAGGGGAGTAAATTTTTTCCTAGGAGCCGATCTTCTAATATAAATAGAAGAAGTATGTCTAAGCTTATTTTTACTATCCTTAAGCGTAAAAATGTTACAAATTTTTATTAAACTCTTTATTTTTATTAAATTCAAACGAATTTTGCGAATATCAATGGCCGATTCTCGGTCAGTTGAAAACCTTGTCTACGAACAATTATACTAACTTAAAGGTTTTGTGGCTGCTCATAAGTTGAAACATCTTCTTTTAAAAATCAGGCGTTGAGCTTTTCTACTAAATATCAGAAAACTTTTTAATCTACTAACTTTTTAATAAAAGCATTGATTTCTAGTTAATTTCGCATAAATTTTCCAATATCAACAACAGTTTTTAGCAATAAAATTTTGAATATTTTGCTCTTGCAATTTAAAAAATACTTTTTATCGGTCATAATTAGATGCCGTTCAGAATTCTGGATTTTGTTTGAATTTCCATTTCTAGACTTTGCGAGCAAGCTCTAATGCGCATACTAAAGCAGCAGCCAAAAGAGTAAAGCGATTGCCAAAATGGTTTTGCATTTTTAAGTTTTGCAATATCGAGTGAAATGTTTCACGGAAGCTGTTGGGTGCTATCGTTCTGCCATTAATAATGATATACGCAGCGCGCTCCTCTAACTCGACGCAGAAGTATCGCATCGGAATGATAGTTACACGATTCGAAAGCCCTTGATACGGCCAGTTTCCAACAATCTTGAAAACCATGTTTTTATTTAAATCCACTATTTTACAAGCCACTTTGTAAAAATTAACGCTTTTCGAGGTTGCATACGAGCTAATTTGTTTCAATTTCTCCATACAAAATGACCGGCAGTAGCCGTTAATTAGATGCAGAGGACGTTGCTTAATCGGCTATATATATAATTAACAAAATTTGATATAAACTGCCGGCTTTAAATAAAAACATGGTTTTAATCATGTTGCAAATTCATCGTTTGAAGGGCTTTCGAATGGTATAACTATCATTCCGATCCGCAACTTCTGCGTCGAGTTAGAGAGGATGTTTTTTTGGGACAGACTGTATGTATTAACATTTGAATCATCGCAAACATTATCCGGAGTCCTACGGTATCAAGGGCAAAATATAACTCACAAGTCCACCCCATAAAATCCAAGCGGGAAGTATTTGGGAGCAAAATGGTAGCCCAGCACGGCAATTATGGCCAGCGCTCGAAGTACAGCGACGTCATGCCGGAATCGTCGTTTAGTAGTAGGCGAAGATTTTTCAGGAATTGTGGAGGAAGGGACTGAGCTCGTGCTCGATGGCTTCTCAGTCGTAGAACTCGCCGCTTCGGCGTCCTTTTCTACAAAAATAGTGATTGCAAAATAGGTATAAAAATGTCATCTAAAGCGACCGTCGCCTTATGTTTTGTAAATTCTTAGTTATATCTACTTTATTGGTGGTCATTTGGAAAGAGTCAATTCTTCAAATAAAAAAATACGTATAGAAAAAATGTTTAAAAAATGTTTAAGGTCCTTTGAAATTTAGTTTTTGCAATAGAAGGTTCTTGCGATTCGCTCTGTTTCTTTTACCAAAAAATTACCTCACTTAATTGGGGTAGTAACTATCTAATCCGGGTTTTTAAAGAAACGTTCAAGGCACCGGACCTATGGATTATGCTAATTTGGAGAATTTGGAGATCCATAGCCACAAAAAACCCGACCGTAAAAATTATGTTTCGCAAAATTTTAAGGCACCGCGGATTTGGGTTTGACAATAGTTTGACTAGAGCACCGAAGAAGCGAAGAATTAGCCCAAAGCGAAGAAAGTTGAAAGTTTATTAATTTCACGTCTTCTCAGAAAAAAATAAACTACAAAACCGTCAAAATAAAACAAAAAGAATTTTGGGTGTAGGATCGTGTTTTAAATGGAACTAACAAACTGATGAACTCAAAATTTGCTTAAAGCTAAACTCAAACCAAACAAGCTACCGGAAAAAATTTGGTTCAAAAAGTGCTGAAGGAAAATATCTGCCGGAACAGTTGCTCGGCTCCTCCAGAATTCGTTTCAATCAACTGATGAATTTAACCTAGGAGACATTTTCCCCTCGTTTTTGATCATAAATTCAAAATCAAATTTATTAAAATGAATGCATGAGTGAAAAAGTGAAAACAAAGGCAAATCTAATTTAAATAATTTACTCGTCCTCGTGAATTTGTATTTCTACCTGTTTTCGACGGGCTCCGTAGCTGAAAAATTCGAACAAATCTGCTCGAACTTGTTTTGGTTTGCATGGCCACTAAACTCAAGGAATTAAAAATTGAAGCGCAAAAAGGAAGCAAGATTAACCATGAAACATCAATATGAGAAAAGCTCGATAATAACGATAGTAACGATGGTTTTACCGGTTAAATTATTTTATTAGCTTAACACCATTTAGTTTGAACACGGCAATTGTTAGGCAAATTGAGAAAATGCTTTAATCGGAATCAAAATCTTTACTTAAAAAATGCAGTTTAACAATACTAAATTAGACGTCAAAATTGATTTTCGAGATTTTTGGGGGTATTTTTGGGCCTAAGGGCAGAAAGATACCGCTTAAAGGGACCGACAAGGCAGGACAGTGAATTTTGGCTATGGCTTTACTACATGATGCTATGACTTCTAATCTGTAATTATCTCTAATTCATCGCTAATCAAAGTCAATAAAACGGTGATAAATCCATAGCCCTGCTTTGTGCGCTCCTTTAAAACGCTAGGTAAATACGAGAAAGCATAGAACAAATATGTATTCCAGAAAGCTATATACCATCAATTTTGCCGAAACATTTTTTAGTCTACAGATCAAACATCCTACTATATATAAAAAAAATAGTGTCTGTGTGTGTGTGTGTGTGTATGACACTTTGCATGCAACTTCCGTCTGTCTGTCCGGAGGATATCTCAAGAGGGGCAGGGATGAAAGGGACGTATGATACGTCATTAGACGCGTAATGGCGTGTAGATGACTGCACGCAAATCAGACTTTGCAAAATTGATTGTTTTCGACATTAAAATTAAGTTTTTCCTTAAAAATCGGACATCCACTTTGTTAGGAAAAAATTAGCATATGCCGGAAGTGGGAGTAGCCTATATAATTGGGGAGCGGACTCGATTTTCATTTTTTGACATAACAGTGCGGAAGGATTATGCAAAGCGAGGGATATCATAGGGTTGGACGGGGCCAGGGTTGAAAAGTCGCGAAGCGGCTTTTCAACTCTGGTAGGTTTTAATGGTGAAAATGCCGGGCCCAGCTGTTCGACTTCGAGGGCCTCCAGCGTATTATTATTTATTATTATTATTATTTTGAAGGCTTTGGAGGCTCAGCATTTTAGCGTGGCCAACTATTCAGGGAAAATGTTGATTATTTAAGGAGCAAGAGCTAAAAAATTTTATAAGGTTCAAAGAGAAGCTGAATTAATGCCCTGGACGGCAACAGGGGTTTGTAATTTTTCTAAACATTGTTTTTTTTTGCGAAAGTTCTGAATCTTACTCATAGCGTTCAAGGGCTGTTAAATCAGGAAATTATGATAACAAGTAATCTACAAGCTCCAAAATTCAATATGCTTCATGAACACGTTTGCTATAAATCCTTTTTTATTTTGTTTGAGATTGATTCTCGAAATCCATTTTCACGATATTTTAAGGCGCTGCAATTTCAATTCGCGAAATGTTCGAGATGAAAAAATCTCTCACAACCTCAACATTCTTAATTTCGATATTAAGAAATTTCGACGTCACGATAACAAAGCGGGCAAACCGGATGGCAGTCTAAAATTAATATGGAGCGCGGAAACCTATTCACAACCAATTTTCCTGAAACATTTTTTTGCGTGGCAAATAAAATCAAGTTTGTTGCGCACATAAAATTTGATTACAACTTTCGTTGAAATATAATAAGGTGTATAATCCTATTCTGCGACATATAAAAATATTCATTGAAAAGGAGGAACTAGTTTTATGGTAGATTCCTTTTACAGCGCGCCCCAGGGTTACGGTGCGAAGTACAAGGCTAGGCGCGGGGCGGAGGGGCTGTCAAATCGTGAACATCCCCCGGGGGCATTAAGGGCGGAGCTTCCCTATTTTCACGTAGCCCTCTCCTCTCTCTCTCTCTCTCTCTCTCTCTCTCTCTCTCTCTCTCTCCCTGCTTGATCTGTGGTGTCATCCGGGGTTGCATCGAATTTTACGACCCTCTCCGGGGGATCCAAAGTTCAACAACCGCAGGTCAGTTTATATGTCCAGCGCTTAGAATCGAAAAACTACAGCGTTCATGCAAATTTGCAAACTCAAGTGTAGAGTGCCCTAATAAAAAACGCCCCCTGTAACTCAACGCGGATGTATCGGATCGGAATGCTTTTTACACCGATCGAAAGCCCTTGAAACGGCCAGTTTGCACTATTGCTCATATTCATGTTTTATTTTATTCATGTTTCATTGCTGTGGTTTTTAGGCTTTCTCTTTATTTTTGCGCAACATGAAATGAACGCCCCTCAAAACCACTTTTTACATAAATCATTTTATTCTGCATGATTTTCTATCGAGCCGAGGTTAGCTTGCCCCTCTAGCTTTTTTAGTGACACACATTCTTTTAAAAAAAGCCGGATACTCTTTATCGACAATCAGTAATGCATAATGAAAATCAAATCATCTCTTTATAACAATAATAAGTTATCATTTTTATAATTTTATAATTTTTGTTTTTTTCGTTTTTTTATGTATTTTTCTAGAGATGCGTCCAAACCAACACATTTTGTTGTAAGTGCACCACCCATAAATTGCAGGCAGTTGCGAGGTAATACGTGTGAGGAGTTGAAAAAGGTTGAAATAGGGCAAGAATGAGAACGACTTCAAGGGGGACGAAAAGTTCGCGGAAGGGAGGTACGGTATGGAAACGGAAGTAACTACCGTACCCCGGAGAGAGTGAGAGAGAGAGAGAGAGAGAGAGAGAGAGAGAGGGAGAGAGAGAGTGCGAGGGAAGAGTAACGCTATCAAGATACGAGAATATTGCAGTTCAAAATGAGATGTTTCGTTAGTAACATTGCTACGCGTTTTTCTCAGAAGGATTAATCCATTCATCCGTCAAACCAGCGCTGATTTGTCAGGCGCACTTCGGGTGGACGCAGCATAATGTCGAAATTAGCAATGTTGACATTTCAGAATTTCATTTTCGACGACCCAGCAGTTTGAACTTCAAATTTTCAAGTGCAGTTCAAAAACAAAACTTGGAAACCTGAAAATCAGAGAGATAGCTTGTTTCAACGCATAAAGCAAACCGGCGTTCAATGCAGATTTGTTGTGGATCAATTGTCTGGCCTCGCTCTTTTAAAATAATAGTGACCGATTGAAAGAAAAGACAGCAATTGGGTGAACATTACAACATTATTCCATAAAAACTCCGAATCCCTCTGGCCGGAACCTTAAAACATTTTGTTTTGTGGCAGGATATTTCCTTACAAAATAAATTAGGTGTTTCTTTGGAACCTTGTTGTGACGGTTGCCGTATTTCCAGTTGCACTATCCTCCACCCGAACTCTCAGTACTTTCCGTCTGGCTTGGAGCGAGAGAGAGAAAGGGAGAACGAGTCAGGGAGATATGGAGAGCGAGTCAGAGAGAGAGGGAGAGGGAGTGAGAGAGAGGGGGAGAGAGAGAAGAGAATTACCTACCTTTGAAGTATCTAGGGATGGTAATGACGGGTTTTACGTTATCCCCAGCAAGCTATTGGAAAATTTTCATTTACCGCGCACATCCGAATTATTAATGTTCAACCAACTCTTGATATGAATCTTTCTGAAACATGTTTTGTTCTTCCAAGCACCAGGACAATATTTTTTGCTGAAGAACGGCTCAACTATGCCTGCAAAAACAAAGAATTTGGCCGCTGTAGGTTTTACGGATACTGAAAGTAGAATATCAAATTTTTCCAATCCATTTTTTCCAATAAGAAAATAAACTGAACATTTCTGTCCTTATAGCTACACCCTGCAGATACTTACACTCAAAAATCAGAACGCTTCCACCACAGACAAGTACTAAAAATCGAAAATTCCCGGAATTCCCGGAACGCAAATTATTCGGATGGCATTTGTAGTGGTAATAATAAGCAAGAAAAATAAATAAGAATAAAGTAGTCCGTCCCAATGCTGCCGATTAAGGGACATCTTCCCTGTTTATAACATCTACCTTTCTGAAACATTTCCTGCACTGTAAACCAGATCGATTTTTTAGGGGTTTTTCTCCAGACAACAAGAGAGAGAAAGAGAGAGAGGAGCAAAAGAGAGAGAGAGAAAGAGAGAGACAGAGAGAGGATAAGAGATAGAGAGAGACAGAGATAGAGAGCGAGAGAGAGAGAGATACGGAGAAACAGAGCGTAGCGCTAGAGCAACTGGTTGGTGTATCCAGCACCTATAAACTTTTTCATACCTTGTGTTCATTTTTAAACTTTTAAAGGCTAGATTTTGCTTTGCCCCCTCCTCGCGGCCGAGGACCCCCAAATTTTTCATCATTTGTTTTGTCGGGATTTCGGCTGAGCGTTAAAAAATACATGAAAAGCGACAATTGCAGCTCAAATTACTGTAAAATAAAAAAGTTATGGCAAAAAATAACTTTTTGGAACTTCCGGCTGGGGAAGTAAAGTAATGTCTTACCCTTTTCGAAATTCTTTTTTGAAAGGACCTAGCGTCTACTTATTAAAGTGTATCCTTTTTCGGTTGTTGGTCTTTTTCTGAAACAGTTTTCAAAAAAAAGCTGGGTTTTGCTGATCTGTTTTTGCTGCAGAGCGGCCGACAGCGGCGCTCGTCCTGTTCCAATGTGTCAACTGCCGTGTACCAGAAAACCGTCGGGAAAACTGGATTTGCTTTTGCAGCCCAAAAAACAAGCCTGAGACACCCAATAACGTCCAAGTGATCTATCGGCCCGCGGCTATTGGCGGTGCTCATATTTCAGTCCGAAAATCCGATAAAAATAGCCAGAAAGGGGCGCTTCGATAGGGGTACGGTACTGGGGGAAATAGGAATAAATTTTGAAACGGGAGATTGGGTTGGTGCTGGAAGCCGGGTGCCATATATCACACGGAAATGTTGAGTCTTGTGATTGATAACGGTAAAACATTTTTTTTATCGTACCAGATCCATTTTTCGAGATCGACATTTCGAGAAACCCATTTCCGAAAATGAATTTTTGGAAAACCAATTTTTACAAAGTCATTTGCCGAAAGACGTATTCTCGAAAACGATTTTTGCAAAAAAACCATGATTTC